CTAGAAAGGATATCATATTTCACAGAAAGACTAAACCACATCCGCTGTCATTATTTATAGCCCGTGACTAATCCCTTATCGACTTGATGGCGCCTGAACAACGTTCTAGAAGGATCGCTACAATATTTTTAAATTGGACACGATCTTATCTTGGACCAGTAGAAGTGCAAGCCTCTTTATAGTTTTAAGATTTTCTTTGTCTCCAATTAGAAAGACAGTCTAGTTTAAATTCGTTTCCACGAGATGGCTCTTCGCTATTTGTTTGTTTCATGCATGATACAAATCCATATTTTACACATCGATGGGTACATGTTAATTTACACTGGGGTAAATACTGTAAAAAATTACTTGGAGTCTAGTAATACATGGAGGGTTTGTCTGTGGAATCGGGAGCAAAATCAATCAAAAATTAGAAGTTTTTACATGTTATAATTAATAACTTCAATATTTATACAATTTATACACTTGCGCTGGACTTTCTATTTAGTGCAAATCACTGCATGTATGTTAATTTTCCGTTGTTTCATTAACAGGAAGTTGATCGCTCCGGGCGTGTATAATAAATATGAAATGTTATGCAGATGCAGATACCTAATGATGCGTGAACAGTAAATTCTACTGATAGGTACCTAAATGTTTAATCAAGCAATATTTTTTGTTCTCCAAACATTGATGTTTTACGTAATCATAACTTTCATATTATTGTAGTTATTAGTTCTTTGGGTTTCAATTCAATCTTCGGCGAGGCAAAAGTTATCGAACAATATTGAAAACAACGTGCCCGGTAGATAAAAGGAACGAATTATGAGAACGCAGTTATTTAACAAATACCACTTACGGTTAAATCACAAACTTACAAAATATGTAATAAGCAGATTACAGTTTTTGTAATAAATAACACAATACGCACCTAATACCTACCTACCTATGTAATGTTTGTCACATTTCCGTGGTATTTCACGGATACCTTAAAATCGAGGACGTAGAAACCTTATTTTTATAATCATTACAAAAATGTTTGCAAAATAATAAAATCCTTCAAGCGTAATTTGATGCTTTTAATTTTGCAAGATTGAGGTATTCAATTAATCATTAGCAACTATTAAGATACTCTTTTAATTGAAAGGATGGTCGCTATGTGAGCCTCGTTAATGTATTTCTGATATCGTTGGATATGTACCCAAATTCGATACTTATTTTATCTTGTTGATTCAATTATCCACTCTTTATTTACATTGCAATACAAATTTAGTTTTTTTTATAAGGTCAATAGCAAGTAATAATTCTTCATTTGCTATTATAGGTAGTACAACAGATTAGACTTACCACAGAAAAAAAGCAGAAGACAAAGTAGTACAGGATCTGATTTTGCATCAATCTTACTGTTGGTTACGTGCTTGCCTCATCAGCTATCACAATGCGAAAACCCGTTATCGAAAAATGGATAGAACTGCAAGATCCGATCCGACTGTAATATAACTAAATAGATAAACCAGCACTCAAAGTAGACAAAAGTGCTACCATGCGTCAGTGTACCTACCTACAAATGAAATATTTTATAAAGTGCAAATGATTTCGTTGCATATTAATCTTCTTGTCTGCTGGTTTTTTCATTTCATTTTACGAAACTAGCAAGGTTACCCAAATTCGTATGTTGGACCTGAAATCGTATATAACGTAATGTATCCGGTATTTAAACTGATTCTTACAATTAAGACTAAAATTAAAAACTAAAACCCTAAAAGAAATCAAAGGTAACCCTCTTCGTTGATGTAATAAAATGTACACACCTCTTAAATAAGAGGGCTAATTGTAGATGAAGCAGCTATTTTATTGTCGATGGAAACATTGTCGTACACATATTTGGGGATGATCTTCGACTCTCAACTCTCTTGGATACCACACCTAAACCAACTCAAAAAGGACTGCAAACAACGACTCAATCTACTCAAATCATTATCAAATTACGAATGGGGCGCTGACAGGAACACTTTAAAACTACTCTACAAAACATTAATCCTGTCCAAAATAGACTACGGCAGCATAGTATACGGAGCTGCAAACAAAAATATTTTAAAAACCATTGACGCAATTCACCACGCAGGTCTTCGTTTCGCTATCGGAGCTTTCCGTACCAGCCCAACTATTAGCATACTATGCGAAGCTGGAGCGCCCACCCTAGAACTACGAAGGGAAAAAATCGTAAGCAACTATGCAATAGCTTGTATATCCAATAATAATCACATAAACTCTACACTTTTCACCACACAGGCCTTAAACACCCAACCACACCACCCACGAATCATACCACTCAACATAAGGGCACAAAAAATTCTTTCCTCCCTAAACAAACCTTTACCTATCCCAACCTATAAGTATCCCTCCGTCACTCCTTTCTGGTTAACTAAATCCCCTAGTACCCACCTCGATCTATCAGTCTATATAAAAACAGAAACCAACCCAAAATTTTATACCAACAAACTAAATGAAATAATTAATGACAAGTTTCTAAACCACGAACTCATATACACGGACGGTTCGGTCAAAAATCACAAAACTGGATGTGCTTTCATACACAAAGACTATAGTGAAATGTACCGCCTAGCGGAAGACACAGCCGAAGCGGTAGCTATAATAAAAGCCCTAAAATACATAAAACAAAGTGATAATAAACAGTATGTGATTCTCTCCGACTCGACAAGTGTACTGAAGTCATAAAAAACTTCTTATCGCCAAACCCCCTAATTAAACAAATCTCCGACTTAAATGAGGATGTACATAACAACGGCAAGACTGTGGACTACATCTGGATCCCATCACACATAGGTATCGCAGGAAACGAAGCCGCAGATAAGTTAGCCAAAGAAGCAACTGAAAAATCAAATATCGACGAAAAAGTGCTCACAACCTACGACCTCAAAAAAAGTATCCACAAAAACCTTAGACAAAAATGGGAAATCCAATGGAAAGCTATCGACCCACTGACGAACAAACTACGATCAATTAGAGACACTACATTCTTCGATGGCGGTTACCATAAATTGACACGAAGAAAAGACCAGGTGGACATCACAAGGCTGAGAATTGGACATACCCGAGTTACCCACGGCCACCTAATGAGGAAAGAGCCACCAAAAATGTGTGAACAATGCCAAGCCCCCATATCAATAAATCACCTAATAACCGAGTGCAATGCTTTTGAAAACGAACGAAGGAATTGTAACATTACGAACGATCAGACGACCAACCTAACAACAAATACCATATAGCAAACATAATTAGATTTATCAAACTAACGAAACTAGAAATATAACATACTGTGTCAACATGTATCACACGGCGCTAATGACCACGTAGTTGAAGCGTCTTAATTTAAAAAAAAAAAAAAAATTGTCGTACACAAATATCAGCCGAACATAAAGAAAGGTACGCTTCAATTACGGAAAATGCAAATGGTGGTACTTACGATAAAACACAAACAAACGCATTTAAAATACTCACTATTACAGTTCTTAGGTGAATCCGGCCTAACATTATTTCCGGAATCCCCAAATTAATGAATCCAATCCCCAGAGAATTAATAAATATGGATGATGGCAATTAAAGTTCCATGCCTTCTAACTAACGCCTCAGCTGTTTGTTCAAACGGAGTGCACTTTGTTACGGCTCACAACAAAAAGATAAAAATGAACGTGGAGAATCTGCAAACGCTGCCCTGCGTTGTCAAACAACAATAGAGGGAGCCAGCTATTCAAAAGTTATACGAGGATGTTTCAACAAGTAAATTTACGGTGAACAATAATAATGCTTTGTAATGGAAAAAATAAATCGTTACATCCTTCTTTTAACATCATTCACATCATTTCGGTAACCAGTCATTTTACTGGGTAAAGTAATATTGAAAAATATATTTTTCTACGGCCTCCGTGAAAATGAGGTCACAACCCATTCCAATATGGCGTCCATTAGAAATAAGAAAGTGGTAGCCTGTAGCCTCTATATCCAACGTTCCATTGAAACTCTGATAACAGATTCAGATTTTCCGAAAAAAGAGTATCTACCAATGCAAACCATCTATTTCCACTAGAGAAAATAAAAACGAAATTTGACATTTTCAGTTTTTCGTTGATATCTGAGTAATTTTCAAAGATTTCTCAAAAATTTTAAATGCGTTTTTTTAGTCACAAAAAAGAGCAACTTTGTCCCTATTTAACCTACACTGCATCTCACCGTAACGGAGATCCCAATGATGAGCCACGAATTTGAACCACCCTGTACAAGGAGATAAGCGCGACCGTAGGTGTTCATTATGTAATTTCAAACTTCTACAAAATGGTCTCTAATGATCAGTTATACCTGTGGAGACCCGCAGTGGATGCAGATCGGGACAAGAAATAGTAGTAGGCTTATGTCATGAGGAGATAGTGAACGGTCTAGGAATGAGATGTGTTTGTAAAAGTGGAAATAAAAGTGTATTTCAAATAGTAGTGTTTCACTGGGTTATTACATTGGCAACGAGGATTAAAAAGGAACTTATTTTGGTAAGAAAAGAAAAGGGGGAACATAATTATGCTCCTAATACAAACTCGGTTGCAGAGTTGAACCGAAGAGTGACCGTTAAATCGGACACAGAGGGCGCGCACTAAACTGCGCACAAAGAGCGTCTGTTAAATCGGACTCAAAGGGCGTCTGTTAAATCGGACTCAAAGGGCGTGCACTAAACTGCGCGCATAAGGCGTCTGTTCAATCGAACTCAAAGGGGTCTGTTCAATCGGACCCAAAAGGGGGCGCACTAAACTGCGCACATTGGGCGTCCGTTAGATCGGACACAGAAACGGATAACCCGTTAAGCAAACAAAGTGAGTAAGTGAAACGTCACTGTGACAAGATTAATAATATTTATACAATAGGTTTTTTTTTTTTTAAATGGAGTATTGTAACATAAAACCGTTCCTTTGTGACAATATAGACAAGGCTCTGTTACGTACGGAATGGGAGAAATGGTTGCGATCGGTTAAATTGTATTTTGAGGCGGAAGAAATAGTACATCCTAAAAAAAACGCAGTAAGTTACTGCATTTTGGAGGAACGCAGCTACAGGACGTGGCATATAATCTTCCCGGGGCCATCGAAGAATACGACGAACAACAGAAAAATGACGTTTTTGGAGTATTAGTGAAGAAGTTAAACGATCATTTTTCTCCCGAACAGAATTCGACTTTTGAACGTCACGTGTTTAGAACTATTAAAACGGAAGGGGGAGAAACCTTTAATAAATTCTTGTTAAGAGTAAGACAACAATCGGCAAAATGTTCATTTGGGACTTCCAAAAACGAAGCCATAGATATCAACTTAAAAGACAAGTTGATCGACTCATGGGCATCGGCGGAACTTAAGAAGAAATTATTGGAGAAAGAGAGGTCTTTAGATGAAGTCATAGAATTATGTCGGGTACATGAGGAAATAAGCACACAATCCACAGTAATGAACCAAGTTAACTCAGAACCAGGTCCGTCGTACGGTCACATTAATAAGGTGGAGATAAAGGGAAGGCAAAGTAATGAATGCGCAAGATGTGGAAGAACCGATCACAAGACACAAGATGTCGGTTGCCCCGCACGGAAAGTTAAGTGTCACCGCTGTGAGTTAGTTGGGCATTTTGCTATCAAATGCAGAACGAGAACCACTAAGCGACCTGCTAGGTTTGAACCAAAAGGGAATACGAAGAGATGGCGAAATGCAGTAAATCGAGTGGATGAGGATGATCATCTATCACAAGAGCGCGAAGAGGATCGGGAAGTAGAAATCGAGAGGTTTGATTGTTTTAAGGTAGGCAATGGTCGAGTGGTAGATAATTCAGCAGGCAAAGATGGACTAATTGAATACATCGTGGGAGGTGTTAAAATAACCATGCTCATCGATTCCGGGTCAAAAGTGAACGTTATAAACGGCACAGATTGGAAAACGTTGACGCGAAATAAAACTGTAGTCTGGGAATTGAGCCTAAATAGTGAGAAAACGTTGAAACCTTACGCTTCTGGAACGTTACGAGTCGATCACAAATTTCGGTCCACAATCACAGTGGGAACCAGGCAAGAAATAATTGCGGATTTCTTTGTTATCGAAGGAGGAGACGTATCTCTAGTAGGAAAAGACACGTACCGCTCTTCGACTGGGAATACTGAAGATGGGTTTGGACGTAAATGCATTAGTGGAAAACACGTCGTTTCCGAAAATCAAGAACGTGTTCGTGAAGCTTACCATTGACCCGAGAATAAAACCGGTTCGACAACCTCTTCGAAAGGTACCCATCACGGTGGAAGAAGCAGTAGAACGGAAATTGGACGAGACTTTACGTAAAGGAATAATTGAGAAGGTACGTGAACCTAGCGAATGGGTGTCCCCAATAGTAGTAATTTTCAAGCCGGGTGGCGACATCCGTATTTGTATTGATGTGCGGAGGGTAAATGAAGCTATTCGGCGTGAAAATTATCCCTTCCAACCTTTGATGGGTTTATGACTAAACTGAGAAACGCGCGGTTCTTCTCAAAGTTGGACCTACTTAACGCATACCACCAGGTGGAATTAGATGAAGAAAGTCGTCCCATAACGACATTTATTACACATAAGGGAATGTTTAGATATACACGTTTGTTGTTTGGGGTCAAGTCGGCTCCAGAAATTTTTCAGCGTATTATTGAGGCCATATTGGCAGAGTGTGAAGGATGTTTAAACTACATAGATGACATTATTGTTTACGGAGGTACCGAGGAAGAGCATGACATAAATCTGTCAAAGGTGCTGAAAACATTAAAGGAAAATAACGCCGTTCTTAATGACAACAAATGTTTATTCAAAGTCCAAAACTTGGAGTTTTTAGGCCACAAGCTGTCAGTAAATGGAATCGAGGCAGCAGACAGTAAAGTGAAAACTATCCTTGAATTTCGATCCCCAAATACTAAGGGAGAAGTCAGGAGTTTTCTGGGTCTTGTGACGTATATGGGGAAATTTATTCCTGATCTTGGTAGCATCACGGATTCACTGAGACAACTCATAAAGCAAGATGTCAAATTCATTTGGACATCGACGCATCAAAAGGCTTTCGACAAGTTAAAACGAATGTTGGCTAAACCACCGGCGCTGGGTTATTTCGATCCGAAGCGACGAACACGGCTAGTAGCTGACGCCAGTCCAGTGGCATTGGGTGCAGTACTAATTCAGTTTGACGATCAGGAAGTACCTAAAATTATATCTTTCGCCAGCAAAAGTTTATCTATTGTGGAAAGAAAGTATTCGCAAACCGAGAAGGAGAGCCTGGCATTGGTTTGGGCGGTAGAACGTTTCTACTTCTATTTAGCCGGATTATACTTCGAACTAGAGACGGATCATAAACCCCTAGAAGTAATTTTCAAACCGTCCTCAAAGCCGGCCGCCAGGATTGAACGGTGGGTACTACGCTTACAAGCGTTCAAATTCAAAATCATTTATCGACCTGGGAAACAAAACATCGCAGACTGTGTGTCTCGGCTGTGCCCATCTTATTCCAAAGAACCTATCGATATTGGGAGCGAATACCATATATATACCGTCATAGAGGCGGCAACACCAAAAGCGGTGACCATTTCACAGATATTTAACGAAAGCAAAAACGATGAACACCTAAAAGATGCAATAAACAAAATCGAGAATGAAGCATGGGAATCAGCGGACGCAAGTCCATATTATCCTTTCCGATTTGAGCTGACAAATAGCGGTCCCATTCTTTTGCGAGGAAATCGCATTATCATACCTAACACCCTTAGACAACAGATTTTGAAGTTGGCTCACGAGGGCCACCCGGGAAAAACAGCTATGAAACGACGATTACGGGCAAAAGTGTGGTGGCCACAAATTGATCGAGAAGCTGAGAAAATGGTAAAAACTTGCTTGGATTGTCTCCTAGTGTCCAAACCAAGTCGCCCTCCACCAATGACTAGACATAAGTTCCCGAACGGGCCGTAGCAACATATTGCCATCGATTTGATGAAGGCTGGTCCTATACCTGAAGAGATACTGGTTGTGATTGATTATTTTTCGCGCTACCAAGAGATAAAATTTCTCAAGTCTTCTACGGCAGCCACCATTATCGCGCATCTACAGGAAATGTTTTCTCGACTTGGAATACCGAATTCGATACGAGCTGACAACGGGCCCCAGTTCGCAAGAAAGGAATTTCACTTGTTTTGTGAGGGAAGCAATATTGAGTTTATTCACACAACACCTTATTGGCCGCAGGCCAATGGGGAAGTGGAAAATCTAAACCGATCAATCTTAAAACTATTGAAAATAAGTCATACTGCAGGAAAAGACTACAAAGCTGAACTGCAGGAATTTACTCTGATGTGCATATAATACGGCATCGCATAGTACTACCACAGGTAAATAAATCCCCGTCGGAGTTTCTCTACGGCAGAAATATTAGAGACAAAATCCCAACTATCTACGATTTATACAGTGAGCTGACGGATGAAGAAGCCTATGATCGAAACCTGCTAAATAAACAAAAAGGAAAGGACCTGGAAGACCGGACAAAGGGCGCGCGAGAAATTGACATAAATGTTGGAGATCCAGCTTTAGTCAAGAATGTTGTCGTTCCCCATCAACTGATTCCGACTTTTAGTAAGGACACTTAAAAAGTTCAACAACGGTCGGGAAATGAGTTGGTTCTGGAGGGAGCAGGGCGCGTTATTCGACGACACGTCAGCCACGTTAAGATAAATCTGAGATACATCTTTTCAGCAGCCTGCCGCGGGACCGGAGACATCCAACACTTCGAAACGTTTACAGGATTTGGAGGACGGTTCGACTAACACAGAAGTTAGCACGTCCCTCGAGCCATCTGAAATCCCGACGGTAGTGAATGCACTCAGATTGGAAAGAAAGGGAGGAATGTGGAGACCCGCAGTGGATGCGGATCGGAACGAGAAAGAAGAGTAGGCGTTTGTCATTAGATATAGAACTGTCTATGAGTGAGATGTGTTTGCTGGAGTTGAAATAAAAAGCGTATTTTCAAATAGTGGTGTTTTACTGGGTTATTACA